GGGCAGCATGGGGAAATAATTCTACCAACTCCACAGAGAGTGGAAGCGGGCCTGTTAGACTGACTAGGATGTGAGCCTCACCAGGGAGAGGAAGTAGCACTGACCCTTTTGCCCCAAAATGCAAAAAAAGAGGCAGGCGTATACATTGAGTTACATAGACTTTCGCATAACAGGTAGCACTTTTTGAGAGACTTTCTGTTGATATTATTTGCTTTCAGCTTATTCCTCTCAAGGTAGTATATCCAGCAAGGCTTTGAGTCCTGTATATAAAAATAATCTAGCTGGTGTGTGTTTCCTACTCCCATCTGAGGGAGACTGTTAAATGTGTCTATGGGAGACAAGATGGTGATGTGGTCTTGAAGTGCTACATGTGATCCATTTAGAGGGAGAAAGCAGAAGAATGCGGGTAGATGAGCCTTTTTAAAACTAGTTGATATATTTTTTCTCTCAACTGTTTTCTAGCAGTAATGGCAAGCCTGTTATCAAATCACACCTTTAGAAACAAAATTTCTATATTGACATTCTGGGTATAAAAAGAGTGTATTGAAGATGAGAGAGAGGAACAAATTCTAAGAAAGATACTTTTGTTTCAAATTTCTCCTGTGAGAAGTTTGCTTTTTTACTAGCTTTTTCATTTTAAATACTGGTTTTTATTTCCTTCATTTGTTGTGGAAATTGTCTAATACTTGGCAACAAAAAGATTTTTCTCCAGTTATCTACTGGAATGAACACTTTCCAGTTATTGTTGGTTCTTGTCCCTTCTGTTAGTTTTTTAAAATTCTACTTGGCTTCATGCATCTTTTCCTGGTCTTTGATTCGACAGAGGGCAGTGCTGTACAGTGCACAGAAATCTGCTTCAAACCCAAAGGCTGCGTTGCTCTAATTCACCAGTTAAATTATACTAATTCAGGACCTTATAGAGTTTTAGAAACATATGGAACATTTTTTGCACTCTCTTCTGCTGTCTTAAATCTTTGGTGAAAATACCTGTATATGCTTATGGAAAGTTAACTAAACATATACCATCTTCCGGTTTATTGGTACTTTTAGAAAAGATTAAAAATAACTATTAAAAAGTGCTTTGCCTGTTTGCCTGCATGTGTTTGTGGCCTGTTGATCAACATATGTGGATGGTAGGGAAAGATCAAATATATTTCAATATGCAGAAAGTTCTCTGTCTGCTTGACTAGACATAATTCATACTACAGAAGACCAGACAACATGCAATTTACAAGCATGTATTAGTAGGTACAGTGCATTTCAAATAGTATTGAACACATAAACCACTGACATAACAATATTTGCTTTTGTCCAGCAGAAACAAAAGCACATGTGACTGACATATTTGGTATTAAATGAGATGTGATGAACCACCTAATGCATGGATAGCCAATCTGGCACAGTCCAAGTTAACAGGCACTCTTTCAAGTGGCTGGACTCTGTGGGGTTTCCTTATGCTGATGCTAGCATGTCCATGGAAGTGGAGTCAAGGCCTGCTCAGCAGTATACTCTCAGTTGCCTCCCCAGAAGCAGGAGGCTCTCCAGTGGCAAGAGGAGGCTCCAGGGACGGCTTCATGGCAGGAGATGTTAGACTAAAGGGTGTCAGATGTTGTAGAGACGCTGTATTCCTCAGACAACCTGCTGTCTGGATCTCCATTCCTCAGACTGCTGAACCCTTCCCAGTATCAGACACTTATTGGGGCCCAACTCCACCTCCCCCATCCTACTAGGATGTTCCTCAGGATCCTCCAGTTCCAACTTGAAGCTCCTTCCATTCCTTCTTGGGAATCTGACCATTCCCTCCATGACTCTTCCACGGGGCTCATGGAAATATTTCGAATCTTTCTAGGATATGAAACAATCTGTTTTTACCCTTAGTATATCTGGCAGTCTTTAACTGTGAATGTTGTGTCCTCCAATTACTTAGGAGCCCTGATGATCTCTCCAGGCACATCATTGCCCTGCAGCAACGTGAACTTGTTCTGAAAGAACAGAATTCTGCCATCTCGAGCAGGTATGGCTGTCAACAGACTGTCTATTTTACTTGTTATGTATAAGAAGAAATGGCATGAATTTTGGCCAAAATCCACTGAAACTTGCTGCCACTGTGTGTGTGTGTGTGTGTGTGAGAGAGAGAGAGAGGGAGGGGTGTCCATACCATAAAGTTTGCAATTTTCAGATGAGACGGAAAGTCATTGGGCATGCAGGATTTCTGAATGGTTTGAGTTCTTCTCGTGTTTGGGAAATAATTAATGGCCAAGTTTTACAAAACTCATTTTTGGCTTGCAGTCAAGCATCCTTTTTGTTCACAAGGTCAGTATGCGTGTGCCTGGCAGCTGTGAGGTTATTGATTAAAAAAAAAAAAAGTGTACTTTTCTGTGGGCATGTATATTTTTTAATCTGGTTCATGAGTTACTTTTAATTGTAGGAATACTTCATTTAGATATGTGGCATGAATGAGGAAGCTGCTTGATATGGCCACTCTTTATATTGAGAACCCTTTACATTATGAAAGTGTTCCTGACCACATACTGTATTTTTCGCTCTATAGGGCGCACCGGACCATAGGGCCTATGGGAAATAAAGGGGGGGAAATTATTCCCCCCCCCCAGCCCCAAAGAGCAAAGAAGCCAAGACAGCCAGCGGGATCCATCCTCTCCAGGCTTCAGCGAAAGCCTGCATTCGCTCCATAGGATGCACACACATTTCCCCTTCATTTTTGGAGGGGAAAAAGTGCGTCCTATAGAGCGAAAAATACGGTAGTTCATCTTGTGTCTGTTACTTGAAATCAGTGCAGAGTTATCAAAATGCTGCCAATAGAACTGATGGGGATGATACTTAGTCTGCTTGTGAGACTGAGAAGGTTTAAACACATGTTTCTACAGCAGTTTGCATTGTCTTTCCTGTGAGACTAGACAAGAATCACATTGAACTATAAAGCTTTGCTGTTAGCCAATAGGAAGAGACCCAAGCAAAGTTGTTCTAGATAATGTGTTGCAAGTAAATGTCCATATTGCACCTTCCAGATTTATAGTGAAAGCAATTCTATTATATTTCTATTAGCTCAGTCTGAATTCACCTACTAGCTATTTGCAGATTCCTGTCAAAGAAATATCACAAATGAAGGGGGCTTTGTGATGGAATGCTTTAATTACAAAAGCGTCATTTTTGAGATCTGAGTTTGTTTGATATGTAAGCAACTGATGCTGGAGGTTAGGATGCAAATTATGTAATGTCAACACATTTTACCACATTTGTGTATGCTTTTACATTTTCAGTAAAAAAAGAAAAAGAAAGTGATATATCTTAAGAGAGTTTACGTTTCTTTGCTAGGATGAGCTCAGGTAGCAGTCCTGCTCTCTACCTTGTTGCATTGGAGAAATGCATTTTTCCATTGAGTGTCTAAGAATAAGCATTGGTGTTCTGCTCCATGTGCAGCTGATTCCCAGGAAAATTTCATTTTCTGGTGGTAGGCTGCAGTGATGTCTATTCTTGTTATTCTCCCCACCCTGGGGAGTCTGCCAGGGCTGATTACCCCCATACCAGCCCTTTGTTAAAAACAATGCTGAAACAAAATTTTTAAAAAATCACCTAGGTTTCTGGTGCTTTGCATTTATCAAACATTTTAGTTTGTTCTTTATAAGTGTTGTGCCCAAAGCAGTCAGGCAGAGGTTGTTTTTCAGCAGTGGTTAAATGCACTTCCCTGAGTCTCTGCATATTCTATGCTACCTCCTAAGGGTCTCTTACAAATTCTGGTTGATTATTGCCTTTTCCCTGTAACCTCTTGCTAATGGCAAACAGATTCAAGCTGGGCAGTAAAAGCTTAAAGTGTGTTTTATTAAGAGCAGCTAAAACTGCTTAGCCAGTTGTTAAAATTGCTGGCCAAAGTGTAAAATTCACTGATGCAGCCAATATTAACCTTTTCTTCATGGTTGATATCAAGAATCTTGAGAAGCATGTTTTGCTTAGTATCTTAAAAGAAATAAAAATAATTGACTGTGTATATTTTTTTAAATGGGTGTGGATCATGATCCCACACAGAGAAAATGTTGTTATTTCATTTATTAATTGCCTGGGGTGATGTTTTTGTTGACAGAACAGTTTTATGTAAGTATCTCTTCATGCTGGACACAGTCATGCACTAATTTTTATGCAAGGAGGGGAAACAAAAAATGATCAAGATACCCTTTTGAGTACAAAGAGACCAGTAACTGCCACTGACGCTAAAAGCTCTTTCAAGTTAAAACTTTCATGTTCTCCAAGACACTGTAATTAGTTCAGATTCCAAGTGTCAAGTTCTCCTTTTAGCTGCAATCTTTTATTCTGCCTTAAGTGACATTTGAATGCCTGTATTTTAACTCTTCCATTGTTTCCAAATTCCCAGGAGAACTTCCTGTGCTTCTTAAGAGCAAATCTAATCACATAGTGCCCAGTGAATAATGGAATCACAGAACTGTAGAGTTGGAAGGGACCATGAGGCTCTTCTAGTCCAATCCTCTGCAAGGCAGGGATCTTTTGCCTAATGGGGGCTCGAACCCACGACCCAAAGAGCTATCCACAGAACTGATGAGATGAGATGAGATGAGATGAGATGGAGAAGAAAGAAATGGCTTATAATAGTTTCTAAAACATTTAGTATTTACCGTATTTTTTACTCTATAAGACGCACCAGACCATGGCGCACCTAGGTTTTGGAGGAGGACAACAAGAAAAAAAAAATTCTGAATCCCAGAAGCCAGAACAGCAAGAGGGATCGCTGTGCAGTGATCCCTCTTGCTGTTCTGGCTTCTGGGATAGCCGTGCGAAGCCTCTTCAGGGCAGCGGGATGAACCCTAACCCTAACCCTAACTGTGCAGCAGTCCCTCTTGCTGTTCTGGCTTCTGGGAAAAGCCCCCAAGAGCCGTGCTCCCCTTAAAGAGCGCGCGGAGCATGTGTGCAGCTCTTGGGGGCTTTTCCCCGAGGAGGGAGAAGGGCAGCCCATCAGTCCCTTATTCCACCTTGCGGAAAAGCCCCCAAGAGCCGCACAGACGCTAGGCGCGGCTCTTTAAAGAGCATGCGGCTCTTGCTGGCTTTTGCAGGAGCTGGGGGAAGGTACAGAGGGCAGCCCGTCAGTCCCTTCCACCACCTCCCGGAAAAGCCCCCAAGAGCCGCGCGGAGCGTGTGTGTGACTCTTGGGGGCTTTCCCCCGAGGAAAAAGTGTGTCTTATGGAGCGAAAAATACGGTACTAGTGAAATGCATTGGCAACAGTGGGTAACAGTTGTGATCATGATGGTTTCAGCTATTTATTATGTAGCCATCTTGAAGTGTAATGGCTTTGTTTAATGGCAAAATTATGGGTCCAACTGTTGAAGCTTGTAGGTTTAAGTTCTAACTCAGAGCAATGTTGAAACTTGGCTTGATAATAGGAAAGCTATGAAGACATAAGCAAGATGTGGCTTATTTGTCAATGCTGTAGATTGCCTTCTATGATGGGGGGGGTAGATTTCTTTCAGTAGATGGGGATTAGTTTGCAAGTGTTCTGTGGGGCCTTCAGAATGGTGTTAATGGCTTGTTTTGCCTGCCTGTAGTTTTGTTTACCTTGATGTGTATTCCTAAAGTGTTTTTACCTTTTAAAGCCCTTAAACATTTGGTTGGGAGTACTTAATACAAAAGACCCTTCTCCAGGTACCCCAACACCTGAGATTAAGCTGATATTGACAGGCTAGAGACAGAGACCCTTCTATAGTAGTGCCCAGACTGAGTCCAAATTCCTCCCATAACCACAAAGCTTATTGGGCTTAATTCAAGTCCCTGTGGCATCTCCTATATTCATAATGTTTGGACCACCCACCAGTGGATGTAGTTTACCAAACTTATTTTCACTTCATGATTCAGGTGGTGATGGGTAATGAACTGTCTTTTGCTTACAACCTTCCCCCCCCCCCCATGAAATGGAAATATGGCTGAACAATGTTAGTACTGGTCTTGCTACTCCCCTGCCCACACCGTGCTTTCATTGCATTGGCTTTAGCTACCAGAATGATAGGTGAATTTAATGCTGTCATTCTTCTTTTGGCTGTATCTAAAATGAACATTTAACTTACTTAGCATGGCTGGCAGGTGGTCTGAGCTGCTTTGGCATTCTTAGGTGGGAAAGGCTTCTGCTTAAGAAGTTCCTTGCTGTTCTAAGTGCAACATGCACTGGCTTGACACAGATAGTTTTGAATGAAATTATGTTCTCCTCTGTTTCTTCCCATGTAATTCTCTGTCTTTCATTGCCCTGATCTTTTATTGTTGAGCAGCCACTTGCAATAAGTAGGGTAATTGTTATTAATTCTCAGGTGGTTATATAAAGACTAGCTCTCATACCGATTGTCTGTGCAGAACACAACAGAGGAGAGGCTTATATATAAATATGCAGTGCTTTAAAAAAACAGGATGGAAATACGCTCGTAAATGTGAAGCTTTGATTCTAGCTTCTCTGTAAGTTTTGTCCAGAAGCCTAGGAAGGTGCAGTTTTCTAAGCTAAGTTTATAGTGAAGTTTCTTTAAAGCTGCAGATAAGTTTTAGAACTTCCAAATTAGGCCCATGGTTTTGCGTATTTAGCTGCAGCTAATAAAAGTTCATTCTCAGACATTTGAGAAGCCTGGATAGATGGACAGACTCTTTCATCTGGCACGTATTTCCAAATCCATGCAACTTTATTACAGGCCAGCTGTCTCTCATCTTCCTTCCAGGAATGTTGCAGCCTCTCCACCATTCTTACCTTGTGTGTTGCTAGCAACTTGATGCCTTCCTTAGACCTTTGGACATTGCTACCATACATCGCCTCATATGAACTTCAACCCACAATTTATACTAAAAACACTTTAGAGAGCCATGCAACTAACCTCCTATGCAAGGAGTTGATTTTTTAATTTTTTTTAACAGTGAAAGCCCAATAGGAAATTGTGCTGCATTAGAAGTCATGTCGCGGGACGCTGGTGGCGCTGTGATCTAAACCATTGAGCCTCTTGAGCTTGCTGATCAGAAGGTCAGCGGTTTGAATCCCCGCGACGGGTTGAGCTCCCGTTGCTTGGTCCCAGCTCCTGTCGACCTAGCAGTTCGAAAGCACACCAAAAAGTACAAGTAGATAAATAGGTACCGCTCTGTTGGGAAGGTAAACAGTGTTTCGTTGCGCTGCTCTGGTTTTGGTGTTCCGTTGCGCCAGAAGCGGCTTAGTCATGCTGGCCACATGACCCAGAAAAACTGTGGACAAACACCGGCTCCCTCGGCCTGTAAAGCGAGATGAGTGCTGCAACTCCAGAGTCGTCTGCGACTGGACTTAACTGTCAGGGGTCCTTTACCTTTAGAAGTCATGTCAGAGATATTCTATTGACTGTTAGTTCCCAAACAGCATGGTGACTGGAAAAGGTTAACTGAAAAATTTACATATAAATCTAGGCTTTAGAAAAATATAGTTAAGCTGGACTCATTTTATTGCACTTGATTTCCATTTATGTCTTATATTGGGGATTGGCAGCCTTTTGCCCTACAAATGATACTGGACTACAACTTCTGTTATCTCAAATGATTGGCTCAACTGGTTGGGGCTGATGGAACCATTTTATTTATTAAATTTCTATCCAAGTTTTCTTGCAGCAAATAGCAGAATAGCAGAATACCATTTAAAAATAAAGAAAAACATCAAAAAACTTATAGAAACATTTTAAAAGCATTCAAATACCCTAATAATTTCAAAGATGCTAGGAAATTTGACAGATCTTTCACCCATCCTATGCCTTGGTAAATAACATCTGGAGGATCACAGGTTCCCTACTCCTATCTAATGTAAGCCGTCACAGACCCACAAAACAACTTCCATTCTGTTACATGTCTTTGGAAAGATCTGTTGGCTATGTCAGTTGAGGAGAATAATAACTTATAGTTGCACATTTTCTGGTTCAGAAGTGTTATGGGGTTCTGCTTATGGCATCTTTTATTTTTGGATCAACACATCCCTATAATTTGTATGTATTTGTGTGTGTGTGTGTGTGTGTGTGTGTGTGTGTGTGCGCACGTGCGCGCGTACACCCATTTCTGTTTTTTACCAGTATTTATACTTGGATACGAATGAAATCCTGTGTGCGCTGTGGCATTGAATCAACTGTGTGTAAAATTTCTCCAGCAAAAATGTTCTACTAACTTGCTATAAAGGATTCATTGTCAGAAGTTTCATTAGGAAAAAGTCTTGATTTTAGCTGTGTGTGGCAAAAAACTCAAATTGTCGAAAGTTGCAGAACAGCTCTCTGCTGCTCTGAAACGTAAATGACTAATGTGCATATTTTATTTCAGCATCTGGGCCTGAAAAGTTGCATACCAAATTTTGTTTGATTTGATCAACAATGGCTGAAAATTGGGATTTATCATGGAAATGCTGACAGATATGAACATGTGTCAACTAAAGCGTGTGCCTGACAAACCTTCTTATTGTATGGTGCTGGTGGTGAAATGTTAATTTTTTGCTGCTTTAATTGCATTTTTTCTTTGCTCAATCTAGTCTTTTCAAAGTCTGGCTGTTTTGGTTGCACTTCAGCTTTGTACTAATTTTTCCTCGAGTATGCAGAAAACTTGTCAGGTGCCTGTGCTGCTTTTTGAGCAGAAGAGTTTCCTGAAAGCTCTGGATTACCTTTCTTAGTATACAAGGATGAAAAAAGCAGCAGCTGCACTAGCAAGTCCATATTTTGCTGCAGTAATGTGTTCCTGACAGAAGATGGTGCCTTCAGCCTTCACTCAGATTCTTCCTAGTCGTCTTCCGCCACTCTTTTTATTTTATTTAAAAAAAACATTTTGTGCTGCACAGCCAGAATGCTGTCACTAGGATTATAAATTCCGAAGCCAATTAGATAAAAAAATGTTACAACTGAAAGCGAAGAAGCTAAAAGCTGGTGAATATCTTCATGTTAGTGTGCCAGCCTTGGAGAGCAGTTTCTAGGGAGCCCTCAGATGTGAGCTTTCTACACTGCTTTCAAACATACTTTTGCACAACAAAGATCTGAAGCATCTGCCGAATTAACTGTGTGAGGGAACTTGGAGTAAGGCGTGATGATTTAAGGGTTTTATTAGATTCCATAGGACAGTAGCTTACACAACTAATTTAATTAATTAATTTACAGAACTTTCATAGACCACTTAATCAGAAAAGTAAGCAGTGTAAATAATATGGCTACCGATAAAATGCAGATAAAATCAGCAAAACTGTAAAAACAGCAACAGTATATATAAATAGTATACATAAATAATTTTCAATAAAACACAATCTGCAAAACTTGTTAAAACAAATATATATCTAAATTATATGTCTGAGTATGTCTAAACCACTGAGCCTCCTGGGCTTGCCGATCAGAAGGTCGGCGGTTCGAATCCCCACGGCGGGGTGAGCACCTGTTGCTCGGTCCCAGCTCCTGCCAACCTAGCAATTCGGAAGCATGCCAAAAAAGTGCAAGTAGATAAATAGGTACTGGTTTCAGTGTTCTGTTGCGCCAGAAGCGGCTTATTCATGCTGGCCACATGACCCAGAAAAACTGTCTGTGGACAAACACCGGCTCCCTTGGCCTGTAAAGTGAGATGAGCACTGCAACCCCAGAGTCGTCTGCGACTGGACTTAACTGTCAAGGGTCCTTTACCTTTACCTTTTAGACTTACTGAACTAAAAGTTTACTGCAGATGTCTAAAACAGTACAGCAAGGGTGCCTGCCTAATGTCAATAGGCAGAGAGTTCCAAAGCATAACTGGAGCTGCTACACTGAAAGATTGACTCCTTGCCAGTGCCGAACAATATATAGCACTTTCACAGTTCCATAGATGGAAGCCATTAAATAGGTATATATGGGGCAGTCTCTTAAGTGAACTGGTCCCAAGCCACTAAAGACTTTATATATGAATACTAAAAACCTGAACTTGCCCCAAAAATCAGGTAGGTAGCTGTGTGGGTCTGATGCAGTAGAAATATGTACAAAAAATTGTCCAGTAGCACCTTAGAGACCAGCTAAGTTTGTTCTTGGTATGAGCTTTCGTGTGCATGCACACTTCTTCAGATACACTCAAATACACTCAGATACACTTTTGCCCCAGAAAGAAAGTGGTATCCAGTACAAATATTTGAGCAGAGATGTAATATGCTGACAGGAGATTTCACTCTTGGCAGCAACTGTTGTGCAGCATTTTT